TCCTTCCCATCACTACACTGGTTTCCATGCCCCTAAATTTGGTGTTTGTCATTCCTCTTGTTACTTTATATTCTTTTCAAGATATATGTATCCATAACCTACACTGAAAATCACTTTTCATGTCTTTAAAACTCTACATGGTTCTTTTCTGTGATGATTTATTTTCAGTGTGATGAGTGTGAGCTTCAGCCATTGCATTAGTTCCCGGTGGCTGCCATTGCAAGTCACCACAAACTTGGTGGCCTAAAACAACAAACATTTTATTCTTACTGTAATGGAGGCCAAAAGTCTGGAATGGGCAGGCGTAGGCACCCTGGGCTGAGTCAGCCCGTCTTGCGTGTTCAGGTCTTGTAACTGGCTCTTGGTGCACGGGCTTCTGCACGGACCTCAAAGCCCTGGGCAACTAGTGTGTCAAGGACGAATTTAGGAGACATAGACCGTTGGTTATGAGGCGGCCCAGTGTTTCTTGCAGCAATGCCGTGGCAATAAGCTAACGAATAGGGACAAAATTCAATAGGCCTGTTTTGGAACCACCCTTCCAAAAAAAACAAAAAACAAAAAACAAAAAAACCTAATGGCTTTCCTGATGAACAAATTAGACAGTTGTAGGAGCTCAGACTAGAAGTCACTAAACAAACCCAGCAGGCAGTTTAGTGTTATTGAGTCTGCGAAGAACCAAAGGTTTAATGTTACAATAAACCTAAAGAAAGCATTTAAAGCTCAGAATCCCTTATCATTGGTTTCTAATATTTATTTCTTCAACTTTTAGGCTTTGGGATGCCAGTTAATTAATGAATTATTCTTTTATTTAGGGATGTTATGAATACCACATGGGATTTAAATTTTGGATTTAACAAAAAATGGCTGGGAAATGGACAAACCTGGAATGTTGCTGAAAATATTTTGCCATGTAAATTTGTTTTTAGTGGTATTATTGGTCAAATATTAGCTTCATGGTTTTAATTTCATCAGGTTAAATATATCCTGATAAAGATAGATATGGAATTTCAGCAAGGCTATACTTTAAATATGCTGCCATCCTGAAGTTTTCCTCATTTTCTGAATCCTTTCTCTCTGAGTCATTGTGTATTTTCAATGATGAAAGGTTAAAAAGTTTTAAGAGATAGTATTATACTATCATTTTGTAGCAGATGATACATGCAATGTATAATACATTTCTCAGTGTTTTTTTTTTAAATACAAATGACCTTTTAAATACAAATGACTCTTTCAAATTATTTGTAGTTACAAAAAAGAGCCTGAAATTGAGAAGTCCTTAGGATTGTTCTCTCTTAGGGCTCCCAGGGAGAATCATCTCCTTCCCTCTTCTGTCTTCTGGTGGTGCTAGACATACCTTGGTTTATGGCCACATATCTCAGGTCTTTCTCCCATTCTCTGCTCTCTGTGTTTTATGACACTTGTCATTGGATTTAGTACTCACTATGTAATCCAAGATGATCTCCTCTTGAGAGTCTTACATCTGCAAAGACCCTCGATAGTATATCAGCGCAGGCATTTTGAGACTCACCTGGCCGTGGTTTAATGGTCTTGAAGCTCGGAGAGCTGAGACTTGTATTTATTTAAATAATGTGGCATTGGTGCTAATGCTTGGCTCATATATATGAAAATAAGCTAGTATTGAGAGATACAGGTGAAGGAAGGGAGTGCTGGTAGGGAAGCAGGCAATCTGGGTTTTGGAGTCAACCCTTGGTCGGCCCCCAAATACCATGGAACAGGGTGTGCTTTGCCCCCATTTTTCTTACAACTCACTTTACCTGATTTAAATGGCAGCAAGGTCAGTGAGGAGAAACCACTGACCCCTCCCTGGATTTGGGCTGAGAACACACAATGGGGTTTTTTAAACTTTATATTTTTTGACTACTAAAAGAAATAATCTTACAAAAAATTGGAAAATGGAAACAAAAATTGCTTTTAAGCTCACTACAGTTACAGTCATTTAAAACACTATAGCTCCTTTTGCTTATTGTATATAATCTTATAAGTTTTTTTTTTAAGATAAGTATTTTCATCTCCATTTTATAGTTGTAGAGATTGAAGCTCAAGGGATTGAATTACTGAAGTTCCCACTGTTAGCAAATGATAACACTGGGATCACAAACTAATTATAATTCATAATGTGTAAAATATGATAGATATTACAAGGTTTTATTTAGATATGTGGATATTTAGATATGTTTGCTAGGATGTTTCTAGTAGGCATTTGCTTACCAGCATCTGTTTATCTGTTGCCACAGAACAAATCATCTCTAAAATTTAGTGCCTTAAAATAACACGTGCATTTATTTTTTCATGAATTTGTTATTTGGACAAAGTTTGGTGAGGACAATTTGTCTTTGTTCCCTAAAACATCACCTGATGTGGCAGGAACTAGTGTCTGGGACTGTCTGAAAACTCGCTTTCTCACAGATTTCTGCTTGGTGCTTGCTGTCCTCTGAAACTTCAGATGGCACTGGGGCCAGAACACCTACCGTGGTTTTTCCATATGGCTGCTTGGCTTCCTCACACAAGGGTCGCTGGGCTCCAAAGGTAAATACCCCAAGAGAAAGGAAAACAAGGGATAAGCTGTTTGTCATTGTGTGGTCTTGTCTGAGAATGACACAGCAGCATGAGTTTGATCCCCTGCTAGGGAGCTAACCCACATGGCACAGAAGACCTCTCCTATCTCCCTCACTGCTCCCTTCAGCAGTGTATTTCAGTCAGTCTGCCTATTCTGCTCCCCACTCTGTCTCTGGTGACTCCTTTCACTCCCCATACCTCTGGCCTAAAGCCCATTCTTGTATGCATAAATAAATAAAAATAAATCTTAAAAAAAGAATTTAAAATTATACATAAAGTTGAAACACCCAAGTTGGAAGAAAACCATATACTATATTGTAAAATAATTAATTTAATTGATTACATCAAACTAATATTGATAATTAAATTAAATAATTTTTTTAAAAGATTTATTTATACAAGCACTGGGTACAGTCAGAAGCATGGGAGGGTGAGAGAATTCACCGGAGCCAGAGCGGGGGGCAGAGCAGGCAGAAGGACCGAAGTACACTGCTGAGGGGAGCAGCGGGTGGCAGGAGAGGTCTGCACGCCATGCGGGACCCTCCTCTGGTGGCCGGGGAGTAGCTGGGGAGCAAACCAGCACTGCAGAGGCTGCAGGCAACTTCGCAACCCAGCGCTCAACTACTGCACCACCGAGGAGGCCCTAAATATCAATTTTTATAAAGGAAATATGTCCCATTAGCCAACAAAATTCATTTCACTTGCAAAATAAATTAAACATTGTCAAAAATAAATGACTAATATCATATATGAAAATCCACTCAAAATAGATTGAAGGATGGACATAAGAACAGAAACATAAAGTACTTGAATAAAAATATAGGGGGCCCACTATAAGAACCAAAGATGTGTTTGAAATACAATCCGAGCATCAAGGAAAACAAAAGGCAACCTACAGAATGGGAAAATGTACTTGAATACCCTACATCTGACAGGGGATTAAACTCCAAACTTTACAGAGCATTTACAAATCCAAGAACAAAAAAACAAATTACCCAAATAATGGGCAAAAGACCTCAACACATACTTCTCAAAGAAAATATTCAGGTGGCCTGTAGACATATTAAAAAATGTTTAAGAACACTTATTATAAGAAATGCAAATTAACCACACTGATGCAAGCTCAACTCCGTACGTAAGACCAGTCCATGAAATGAAAATTCCAACACTCATGAAATGGTAAGCAGCAGGCAAGACTTAACTCACAACAGCTGGAGGTGCTAACCAGTGTAGGCCCAAAGAAGGCCCTCAAGCAGCCCGCCTAAACTGTCTGAAGGTGGGGCTTGACAGCAACAAATGCAAAAACAAAAGCACCTGGAGAGGGTTTGTGGTGCCAGGAAGGCACAGTGCAGGATCTCTATGATCCGAGCAGTCAGATAGAGGAGGGGTCCTGGAGCCCTCGGTGGCTTTTTCAGGCTTTTATTTTTTGAAGATTGTTTATGTATACGAGAGCTGGGGTACAGGCCAGATGTGTGGGGGATGAGAGGATTCACCAGAGACAGAATGGGGAACAACAGGCAGACTGACTGAAATACATTGCTGTGGGGAGCAGCAGCACAAGTCAGGAGAGGTCTGCTGCGCCAGGTGGATAGCTCCCTGGCAGGCCGGGGGGATCAAACTCATGCTGCAGAGGCTGCAGCAGCTTCATAGGCTGCGTCTTAACCCTGCTTTTTCCAGGTACATGGCAGGAAGGGGTGCCAGGGGTGGGAGTGGGGGCATGAGGCTGGCCTGCCTCCTGGCCCCCGCGAGTCTTCACTATTTCTGGGCTCTCTGGCGTTCTCTTGTGGTCTCTGCTTCCTTCTTCTGCTACTTTTGTTCTTATCATTCTCTTTCATTCTCCTGGTTCCTGGCACTCCCCGAACCCGCCCTTATAAGCGCAGTCTCAGCCCAGGTGCGCCCACTTATGCATGCCCACCCCCTACTCCAGGTGTCCGCCATTAGGCATGCATGGATCCATCATTAATGCTAATGGTGGGAGGGTGGAAAGGCCTGATAATTTTTCACATACCCCACAGGGTGTTTGCCACAGGGTGAACCCCACAGAGTGAACCCCCTCCCCCAGGGTGGGGCCCTCCCAATTTGCCCAGGGTGAGCCTATTCTACTTATTACACATGGTGTTCATATAGAACTCTATTGTGAGGGTAAATACTGTCGGCTGTGTCAGTAATAACCATGGTTATTACTCATGGCGACTTGTAGAACTCCATGATCTCAGTTAACATCAGCTCTATTGTAGTTACTACTCATGGTGCTCAGACTCAATTGTGAGCTCAATTAATGTGACCTCTGTTCTAGTTATTATTCATGTTCTAATGTAGAACTCCACTGGTGCACAATTAATTAGTCTGTTACAGTTATTACTCATGGTATTCACTTAAAACTCAGTGATCAAGTACTGTCAGCTCTGTTGTAGTTATTATACCTGGTGCTCATGTAGGACTCAATTCTGAGCTCACTGAGGTCAGCTCTGTTTTAGTTATTCCACAAGGTGTTCATGCAGAACTCAGTGATCTCAATGAAGGTCAGCTCTGCTCTAGCTGTTTCTCAGGATGCTCATGTAGAACTCAATGATCTCACTATCAGCTGTTACAGTTATTACTCCTTGTGCTCAGGTAGAATTCAATTGTGAGCTCAATGAATGTTCCGTCGGCTCTACTAATCAAGGTGTTCAGACTGTCCTTTATTACTAATCATGTTTGGTTATTTGCACTTATTTATCATAAATAAGCAGTTGTGAAGGTTTTTTGGCAACCCCACTGGGTTGCCTGTTTTTGCTGCAGAGACCAGTGACTCTAGCCCTTTCCCTTTCTAGAAGAGCCTTAGTTTTTGAAAATTTTCACGTGTATAACCTCATAATACATTAGAAACATTAATCTTTTGATATTGACTAAATCCCAGCTTTTTGTTGGCTTTTGTGAATTTATTTCCAATGATTTGGAAGCCGGACAGTAATTTTTATCTGTTTTTTAAAAATTTTATCCTTTTAAAGTAATTAAGTAAAAAAAATCTACCCAGAAGAAATGTAGGTGAGTGATGTGCGTCAAAAGTTCTTTTTTTCTCCAGACTCTGAACTAAAAGCACCAAGGTTACACAATGAATAATCCACACTTTCCTTATGACTTTATATTTTTATTGCTTATTAAATTCTTATATACATTATGATTTGATTCTGGGAGATCCTGTTCAAAATGTTAATCTATTATTCCACTTCTTCCTCTTTAATACCAGGTGGTGTTCAGATTGTTTCATTGCTCTCGTATATTTCAATATTTTTTTCACCAATGACTTTAAAAAAGAAACAAATTTAAACTGCATTATGTATGTTTTATTTACAAAGATAGTATAATATTTTTTCCATTTTTAAAAGACAAGTGCCAGTCATTTATTTTTCTTTCTGTAAGAGATCAAATTACCTGGCTGTTATTTCACTTTTGCTACCATTTCAAATATTTAAATAGCAAGCAATATTTAAAATGAAGCAAGTATTAAAATGATGATCTTAAACTAAAAAGTGGTAAGTTCTTTAATCTGTCTGCGCTATTTAAAGTGTTGTGCTAACAAGCACAGGGCTGGATCTTTACCAATTCGAGCAGATGGAACTGTCCTGGAACTGTCAGTGGATTTTTCAGCCTTTAATGCTCTTTCTATGCTGATTGTTGTGGGGCAAGCCCACAGGCTGGCAAGGCAGGGAGGCTGGGGGTCCAGGAGGCTGGTAGGCTTCTGTAGTGGCAGAATGGCACGGGGCAGGATCTCTATGATTTGAGCAGATGGGGTAAAGGAGGAGTCCTGGAGCCCTCGATGGCTTTTTTCAGGGTTTTATTGGATTTACCAGGTACATGGCAGGAAGGGGTGCCGGGGAGCCAAGAGGCTGGGAGGCTTCCCAGCCCCCGGCGAGTCCTTGCTCTTTCTGGGCTCTCTGGCATTCTCTCGTGGCCTCTGCTTTGCTGCTGATTCTTTCGCTCTCCTGCTCCCATTCTTCTTTTGTGCTTCCTGTCCCACTGGCGTCCCCATGATGCTGCCCTTATAGGCCCAGTCTCTCAGCCCAGGTGTACCCACTACGCATGCCCACACCCCATTCCAGGTGCTCGCTATCAGGCATGCCTTCAGGACTGCAGGGATCCATCATCAATCCTAATGGAGTTAGGGCAGAAAAGCCTGACAATTATTTCAATCATTTACCCTACAGCCTCCCAAGCCTCTGTGAATCTTTACTCTTTCTCTTTGGGCTCTCTCTTGAGTTGTCTCATGGTCCTGCCTCTCTGTAGTCACTCGCAGCCCTTCTGCCGCCACCCACACAGCCTCAGCCTCCAGGTGGCCCCACTTATGCAGGCCCACAGCGTGCCTACCAGGTGCCTACCATCAGGCATGCATTCCCCGAGCCCACGCTCCCAAGTGCTTCTTGCATCAAGGCCACAGTTGATAGCTAGCAGCGTAAAAGACTGAGTATCTTCATTTACCCTACAATACACCCTACAGTTTCCCTTGGAGAATGTGCGACTCTGCAGCCATGACCCACAAAAGTAAACAGAATGCAACTAAATACACCAAAACAACAGAATACAACTAAGCCCAGGCACTAAGGTGTTAGGGCACCAATGTAGGGGCAAAAAGACAAGATTATCAGCACCAGCAGACGATCTGTTGAGTCAGCTGGTGAAGGCATGCTTGTGAGAGGGGAACCACTCTTGACAGTGTCCACTGTAACATGCCAGGAGCCATCAAGTTTCCTGGCCTTTTCCGCTGTGGTCTCAGCCACAAGCCACACACTGCATCCACCCCTAGAATGCTCTCACTCAGAGACTGGCAACATACTCCATACTCTTTTGGGGGTGATCACACAATCCCAAGGGGTACCCACTGCTGTCACTCCAACATTTGGCCTTCACGGCCACCAATATGATAAGCAGACCCCTGAACTAAGGCCAACTCTTTGCCCATACACATGGATTAGGACCTGTGCACAGCAAGCTCCTCACGTGGCTTCCCTCTAGCCCCAACTCCAGCTGTGGTCTCCACCACAAGCCATGTTCCCCGCCATCCCCAGAGGACAGCACCTCACCTTTATTCAAAAGTGAATCATCCACAGGTGATTTTAAGAGGCTCACCTGCCTTCTTTAACATCTGTTTGCTGCTTAACAACCACTCAAACCTTCCTGACCTTGATACCAGTTTTTGCCTTATCTGAGTTGGTTTTTTGATACATCTGCATGGCTGCAAAGTACCTGGCGAGGGCTTTCTCCCTCAGCTGACCTTGGGCTGCTCTCACTCCTGCTCCTTCCTCTATGCTGATTTCTATTTTGGCCATTGCCTCTCTGGCCTATGGCACTGGGAGTGCTGGGCAGTGCACAAGTTTGCTTTAGGCCACCCCTTGGTTTTCATCTCCTGGGGTGTACAAATGATCCCATCCACTCCCACCAACATCTACATCAGGCCACTTGGGGAAGGCGCCCACAGAAAGAGGCCGGCCACCAAGCACAACGTGCTTGCGGGCTTCAGTCTCTCCTGATGTCCTCAGGGGGCTTGATACCCATCTGAGTCAAATCATCCTGTCGATCTATGCCAGTGTGGTGCCAACAAGCACAGGGCTGGTTCTCTATCAATTTGGACAGGTAAAGGAGAGTCCTGGAGCCCTCATTGGATTCTTCAGGATTTAATGCTCTTTCTACGCCACTTGTATGACAAGTCTGTGGGCTGGCAAAGTAGGGAGGCTGGGGAGCCAGGAGGCTGGTAGGCCTCTCCGGCCCCAGCGACTCTTTACTCTTTCTCTTTGAGCTCTCTCTCTCATCAGTCTCATGTTCCTGCCTCTGCAGTCACTCATCCTCTCATAGTTGTTCTCAGCTGATATCGTCCTCTGAATAATGCCACCCTTATAGCCTCAGCCTCCAGGCTTAGGCATGCCTAATTTCGCATGCCCACACCATTCTCCAGGTGTCCACTACCAGGCATGTGTGCCCTGAGCCCATGTTCTCCAGTGCCTCCTGCATTCAAGGCTGCAGGTGATAGCCACAGAGGCCGGTGGTGTAAAAGCCTGAGCATCTTCATTTACCTACATAAAGATCGTGCATTTTATCTCTCCAACAAACACTATAGAAGAAGAAGACACAGTAATAGAGATTTGCCAGAAGGGCTATGGTCTTTGTACTGCCAGGAACTTGGGTGCCACCAACAAGATCAGAAGTGGCATGATAAACAGTATAAGAAAGCCCTTAAGGCACTGCCCTCAAAGCCAGCCCTTTTGGAGATGCTTCCCATGCAAAAGGAATTATCCTGGAAAAAGTTGCATTGAAGCCAAACAGCCATTCTGCTATCCCAAAGTGTGTCAGAGTTCAGCTGATCAAAAACATTACAGCCTTTGTACCTAATGATGGTCATTTGAATTTTATTGAGGAAAATGATGAAATTCTGGTTGCTGGGTTTGGCTGCAAAGGTCATGCTGTTGGTGATAATCCTGAAGTCTGATTTAAGCTTGTCAAGGTAGCCAATGTTTCTCTTTTGGCCCTCTACAAAGGCAAGAAGGAAAGACCAAAATCATAAATTTAGATGGTGAAAACACAGTAACATAAATTTTCACATGCCAGAAAAAAATTCTTTAGCATTTCTCTCTTAATTTGTCTTTTTCCTCTTGCAAGTTACTATAGTCAGTGAGAAAAACCATGCAGCACCTTCAACCTTCCTAAAAATCTCTTTAGATGGGGGATTCAGTGAAGTGGGTATATTTTCTATCTTCCATGTTACCACAGGAGACAGCACAGCTAAACTTTCTGTGGCTGTCACATGACAGCTTCTGCTAACACTTTCCTCACTTCTGTTAGCCCTAACCAATGGCTTCTTAAAAAACTGTTTACCTCAAGTGAAAGCAATCAGTTATTCGAGAACAAGCAGGAAGAGAAACAAACAAACAGAAGAGAGGGCAGATTGGAAAGTGTGTTCATAGTAAGACCCACAAGCACGTCCTGGATCCAAAGCTAAGAACCTCCCTTGTGACCTCTGAAGAGCCCCTCCCTTGGTCCTGTGGCAGGAAAGACAGCATATGGGGACAGGCATATGGGGTGCTGGGGTTCGTTGATTTGCACATGTGGGGACACTCTTTCCAGCCTCCTGGCCTCATTTAAATAGGGCTCTAGATATTACTGTTCACAGAACACTGAGGCTTCCACTAACAGTCTCTTCAAGACCCTCCCAAATTCTGCCTGCAGCCCAGTCCTGAAGTCATTGCCACATGTTTTCATTTTTCTTTTTATGATATCAAAATTTGTTCCGGTTATCTGTTACTCCTTTAAAAAAAAAAAACAAAAAACACCCAAAGGGCCTCCCCTGGCAGCGCAGGCAGTTGAGTGCCGCACTGTGAAGCTGTCCATAGCCTCTGCAGCGCCGGTTCGATCCTGGCTAGCCGGGCAGGGTCCCACATGGCACAGCAGACCTCTCCTGTCTCGCTCGCTGCTCCCCTATCAGCAGTGTATTTTGTCAGTCTGCCTGTTCTGGTCACCACTCTGTCTCTGGTGAATCCTCTCACCCTCCCGCACATCTGAACTGTACCCCAG